TAGCGGGTTAGGAGGCGATTTGCCTCGTCGAGCCCCAAGAGAACTGCCCGGTTTTCCTGTGGTTGTGCGATAAGTCAAAATGTGGCTTTGGCAACGAGGAGGCTCCGTTTTGTCCTTGCTCTGCCCCTCCGGTGCCAATGAGGTGATGGCGTTGGCTGAGCCAGAGCGGAAAGTCAGGTACAAGACGTGGTGTGTGGGTGCCAGGGTTGGGAATGGCACTGTTAAACCTCCGTGCGAGGAGGAGCTGCAGCTCCCCTGTTGCTGTGTCCCATCCGGCTCCAAACCAGCTTTGGTTTTACCTCTTTTCAGTGGCTTAAAATTCCCACCTTTGTCTTCTTTTCAGAAGCTTTTATCCTCCTTATTTCCCACTGGGACTGCTGAAGAGAGCTGTCCTGCTTCATGTGGCATCATATCTGGGGGTTCATTCCCTGGTGGAATAGTGCTATCTTCCTCTCAACTTGGTTTTACAGCAGGACTGTCAGCGGTATGAATTTCCTTAGACTCAATAGTAGGTCCGTTTTCTCCCTCTGACACTTCCTGGCATCCTTGGAGACTTGAAAGACAGTCTTGAGAGGAGAATTCGGAGAAGGAAGAAGTGTCCCCTCTGAAGGTGGCAGTGCTGTGACAGTGCTGTGACAGCGGTATATCCAGCCGTACCTTCTGGCTGGTAAACCCTTGTGCGGGTGGGGAGGAGAAAGTCTTTGAACCAACGGTATCGTTTAGGGGAGGGAATGCTCTTCCTGGAGGCAGGAAGCCTGGTTTCTCCCTGGGGTGCTTACATCTGCTTTGCTGTGCAAGCTCTCAGCCAGGTATAAGGCGCTGACGTGCCTGTCTGTCCCATGCCATGCAGCTGGCTGCTCCAGCAGGCTCCTGGCAGCACATTGCGTGCCCTTGGTGTGATCAGGGGGCTCATACCTCAGGTGATGGTTGGTTTGTTGCCTCCATAGATGGCTCTTCCCGATCATCGGCCACATGGGGATCTGCACATCGACCGGAGTCATTCGGGACTTCGCGGGGCCGTACTTCGTCTCAGTGAGTACATGATGGATACTCAGTGAGTACATGATGGATACTCAGTGAGTACATGATGGATGCAGGTGCTCGAGCAGAAGCTGAGCTTGGTCAGCGTCTCATCTTCACTGGTAATTACAGGAATGCGAGGAGTAGAAGCTGCCTTCCAAATTCCTCAGCATAGTAACAATCCTGCTGCTTAGCATCAGGTATGGGCTAATCCTCTAAACTGCTTTATAGTCCAGTGGATTTTAAAAGTAAGGGAGTTTTAATTTGGGATAATTAATACTCTGAATAGATTGGGACATTTAACAAAGTATTAACAGTTAAAAACAAGGAAAAGTTAGGGAACAAATTACTTCTACTATATAGCTGGATGGCGTCACCATGTATAGAGTACGAATATACCCATGCCCAGAGAGAAGTATGAAAACAACTGAAACCTAAATCCAGACACACAAATAAGAGACTGCTGAGGCAACATGACAGCTTCATCACTAAGTGGTGGTGGGCTGGGACATGGGCTCCTGACAAGCCTCTTCCAGCAAGAGGCATGTCATGAATCTTGTGCTGGCTTCTATCCTCTTGAGACAGTTTTCCTCTTTTCTAGGAAGACAACATGGCATTTGGGAAGCCAGTGAAGTAAGTGCTTTTGTTAGTTCTTATTAAACTAACCAGGTAACCTGCAGAAATCCTTTAATTCATGGTATAATGTTGCTTTTCTTGTTGCTCAGATGCCCTAATTCAAGTGGATGGCTGCTGTGTCTCTGCTTTTCAAGACAACACAGTAAATGAAATATGTTTAGAGGTGCCAGCAGCGTAATAGTGTTAATAATAAGAGCTGTGTGGAGCCTTTATTAAGGAAAAGGAAACAAAAGGTTAACACATGTTAAGATAGTGTTAACAACAAGTGCTCCAAGTAAATCCTGCCTGCACTGTGCTAATAAACTCATCACTCACATCCCATTAATGGTTTTTGGGTGGAGGAGGAGAGGTGCCTGGGTTTTGTGTGTCTGTCAGAGCAGGTTTGTGCTTTGTATGGCCAGAAGGTTTCCTGTCCTGGGACGTGAAAGCAGTCCAGAGCTTTGTCTGTGCTCCAGAGCTCTGCATGTTCTCTCTTGGCTACAAAGGTGCTCCAAGGGCTTGGAGCCAGGCTGAGAGAGCTGGGCTGGGGCAGCTGGAGAAGAGAAGGCTCCTGAAGGGGACACCTTAGAGCAGCTCCAGTACCTAAAGGGGCTCCAGGAGACCTGGAGAGGGGCTTTGGACAAGGGATGTAGGGACAGGACAAGGGGAATGGCTTGAACCTGGCAGAGGGAACACTGAGATGAGCTCTGAGGCAGAAGCTCTTCCCTGTGAGGGTGCTGAGGCGCTGGCACAGGGTGCCCAGAGAAGCTGTGGCTGCCCCATCCCTGGCAGTGTTCAAGGCCAGGTTGGACACAGGGGCTTGGAGCAACCTGCTCTAGTGGAAGGTGTCCCTGCCCGTGGCAGGGGTTGGAGCTGGAGGAGCTTTAAGGTCCCTTCAACCCAGAGCAGGCGGGGATTTGATGACTCTCGAGACCATGGATTTCTCTAAGTCCATTAAGCATCTTGCTGCTGCAAAGAGCAGGAAGTTGTGAAGGTGAAGCAGTGATGCTAAAGGGATCTCTTTTCACCCTTCTAGGTACTGGAAACTGGATCCAAGCAAAGTGTACTCCACTGGTTCCAATGCTTGGGACACGGCTGTACATGATGCCTCAGAGGAGTACAAGCACCGAATGGTATGGCTCCAGTGATGTTGTCCTGGCTGTGTGTGGAGGAATATCCCCGCAGAGTTCAGGTCCTTGCTGCAGGAGTGAGACCTGTGGCTCTGTACGGGTACAGGGTGTGGAAGTGGGAAGCCTCAAGGACAGGATTTCTAACACTGTGCCCCTTTCTCTGTTCCAGCACAACCTCTGTTGTGATAACTGCCATTCTCATGTAGCTCTGGCCTTAAACTTGATGAGATATGATAACAGCACCTCCTGGAACATGGTGAAACTCTGCTTCTTCTCCCTGCTCTATGGGAAGTATGTGAGGTGAGTTGAGGAGCAGCCCAGATTCAGCAGTCAAAGGAGTTGTTTCTTTGCTTCTTCCCAGCCCTCTAAAGCTTCAGCCTGTCCTGTGGCAAAGGAAGAACCATCTCTCCCCCACAACATGTGGGGGGGTGTTGCTGGTAGGTGAGACTGTCGCTGCCTGCTGCCTGTTCTTAGGAGGAGAATGAAGAGTGCTTGCTGGGTTGCACCAGATGCTGCTCCCAAAATACTGCATCTGGGAGCTGATTGATGGTGCTTGGAATTTGGGAAATGCTGGCTAAAGCAAATCTCACCCTTGTGTTGTCTTTTGGCTGGCGTAGGTCAGAACATAGGGTCACAGAATGGCGTGTCTCCAAGGGTTACTGGTTTCTCTTCCCTGTTGTCTTGGTTAAACACAGCAGCAGTCCGCAGAATGAGGGCTGTGATAACAGGGTTTAAGTTTTGGTGCTCTCCTGTCACCACTCCTTTCTGTGCAGGTTTGAAAGGTGTCAGTATTTAATGTGAATTGAAGCTGGAAAAGCTCCCTTTTGTGTTTCTCTGCTGATTTCCCATGTTTAAACCCTTCCCCTCTTTCCTGTTTTTCAGCATAGGGGGGTTTGTGAAGACCTGGCTGCCCTTTGTCCTCTTCTTGGGGGTGATTGTGACCATTGTTCTCACACTTCATTTGCGGTGATGGCAGCTCTGAAATCCCCATTCCATGGGCACCCAGAGGAAGAGACTGTGACTGATCCAGCGAGGTGGAGGCATGGCACTCTGGGAGGTGTTTTCCAGGGAAGGTGGCAACTCCACTCCATTGTAACAGCTCCTCTTGAAGCTTCTTTTCCTTCTGTTTTTGTTCTGTTGGTGGCATCTCCCAGCGGCAGGGCTCCCAAAGCTGCCTGCTCTCTCCCTTGCTGCAGTCTGGTAGGTGGGAATGCAGTCAGGAGAGGAGAGGGAGGTGTGGTCACCTTCCATTCATCATCACGTCAAGCCACCAGGCAAACCCTGCCTCCTGGTTCAGGAGCACAAGCAGATACACCTTGTAAGGTTCTCTCTGATCACCTGGTTGCTTCGTCTTGGCAGAAGTCATCAGATGCTTCCTCAGCTCTCCTCAATCTCCACGAAGGAGCTGTCATTTCCCTGTTGCACGACTCTCCTGTAGCACATGTTTCCAAGTGGAGGTGTGGGGTTCCTCCTGGGGACGTCGGGTGCCACAGCACCCCATTGGTGACAGGAAGGTGTTGATGCTCCTCTGAGGAGGTGCACAGAGGAACGCTCTGTGGCAGGGCAAATTCATCCCGTCCTGCTGGGGAGCCCAGAAAGGCAGGAAAGTCCATCCACCAGCTTGGGTATGGCTCAGGGCAGTCTGCATGCTTCCAATAGCCTCTTACAGAGCTGGGAGTCTACTGCTGAGTCCCTTTCAGCTTGTGCCAGAGAGCATAGAACTTCCCTGCTTCTCCCTGTGCTTTGAATACCTCAGATTGTCATTACACTTCTCATGAGCCACTTCCCTTTCCTTTGCTGCCCTGTCCTTTGTGTGTTGCAGCATAACCTGAGCCTGCAGAGGCAGCTGGAACAGCAGGTACATGTCTCTGGAAGGCTTAGTGTGGGGGTTTGAAAGCATCGTGAGACCTGGGGCCATCAGGTTAAAAGAAGAGGTGAAGGGACTGGAAGATGCCCATGTTCTGGTTGGATTCTGTGGCATTAAACTGGCCCTGGCTTGCTTGTGGCTGGTTCCAGGATGGTGCATGTGGTCTGTTGACTTCCTTGGTGTGCTTTGAAGAGCACATCTGGGATACGAGTGCTTTGCAGGACTGGCTTTGGTGTGAGAGATGCTTCTCTGGCCCTTCTAAGCTCTGGATGGGGCAGGACAGGTAGTAGGGGGATAGCTCCAGGTCAGTCTGTGCTGATGTTCTGGCCTGAGAGTGCTGCTTTCTGTGGGGCTCTGGGCCAGGCAGCCTGTTACAGAAGTGTGGCTAAAGTGTGATACGCGGTTGAACTGGTCCCCGTGACCAGAGAGAGGAAAACAGCTTTCCCACCTCCTCCAGCCCTGTGGGAGGGCTGGGGGCTCCTCTTGGACTTCTCCATCTCTGCGTTTCCTCCTTTTCCTCAGTCACCTTCAAATACCCCCTTCTCCTCAGCATCCTGTTGTCTGTCACCTGGTACTGGCTGTTGTGGGGTGGGTGAAGATGTGCAGACCTCACTCCCTTCCCCATGGACCTGGAACTGAAGCAGTGGTTGGTGCCTGCTCTGTGCAGTCATTCCAAGCCTGTGTGGAGAGCAAGCCAGAGGGCATTGGGCCTGGGGCTGATGAGAAAGCCAAGCTCTTGATCAAAGAGAACCTTATGATGAAAGGATGGTGTCTGGTGGTGTCTCCCCAGCTGCCCTGCCTTGCTGTCTGGCTGGAGCACCCCAGGATGAGCCAGTTGAACAGGAGGGATTAGTCCTTTGCCTCTGCTCTTAATGTAAGTCTGATTCCTCAGAGTGACCTGCCAAGGATGCGCTCAGAGTCCCTGGCCTCAGGGCTGAAGCCAGCCTGTCTTACACAGTAGCAATAACCTCGAGACTCTCAGGCCTGTGTCACATGTTGGGTCAGTGTGTTATCAGTGTGAGCATTGCCAAAGCTGAGACCTGGAGCTCTCAGGGGAAGCTGGGAGCAGGGCTGCTGCCACACTCCCTGCTCCTGGGGCTTACAGAGCCACGTTCAGTGCCATTCCCCACCTCCTCCTTTGCTCCTCATGCTTTAACCAGAGCTGGGTTTCCAATGGAGACTCCTTGAGTAGCAGGAGATGGGCTCGGAGCGGGATGGAGGCTGCTGGGGAGGAGGGCAGCGCTTCACCCATGTCCTGGCTCCACAGCCAACCCGCTTCCACCAGTGGAAATGGAAGGAATGGCATCCAGAGGGAAGCTCAAAGCCCAAACCTGAGGTACCACAAAGCCTTTGAGCTGGTTGGATTCTTGGTCTTCTGCCACTGTGATGGTGTGGGGAGTGCACCACTTCCTTGGATAAGGAGCATCCTCTCCTTGCAGCTCCCTTCATTTCACCACTGGTTCCTGGCAGTGCCCCCTTGCACAAGCCACATTAAAGCTTCACCCCATCCTTCACCTTCCCTCTGCACGTGGTTGTGGTGCAGAGCTCTGGCGCTGCATTGCTCCCTGGTCAGGCTGAGACCCCCCTTCCCTCCTCCTCTGTTCTGCTCTCAGCAGGGTGCTGGGTCCCTCTGTCAATATTTAAACTGCTTCTGTGCTTTCAGCATCCTGAGGGGGGGAAATAAACTTGGTTCTGTGATGTCTCCAAGTGCTTCCAAGACTCTTTCCTCCTCCCAGCACTCAGCCAGGAGTGCGGTTGCTGTTCCCCCTTTGCCAGCTCCAGCCTCTCTCCTGCCCCAAGGAATGGGGTTTGGCTACAGGAGGAACCTGAGTGCCGCAGTACAGGAAGCGCTGCAGGCTTTAATGCCAGGCTCTCGGAGCCAGGATGTGCCACTGTGGTTGGGTTGGGAGGAGCAGGGGCTCTGCACTGACCTCCCAATTGCTTCCTTGCCAGCACAGGAGCAGGAGCCAAGTGAGATGTGCAGATCCAGCCCTGTGTTCCACTCTCCCGGCAGGATACCGCTGCCTGGCCTGGGAGCGAGGGAGCTGGGCCTTGGAGCATTGCACTGATTGCTGATGTCGCAGCCAGGTTTTGTTCCATCCCATCCCATACCCAGAGGCCAAAGCTGTGCGGAGCAGGAAGAGCAGCTGGGAATGAGGTTGTGGTTAAGGCTCAGGGATGGAATGGAGCAGCCATGTCACAAACACCATCTGGATCCTCTCCTGCTCAGACTCTCCATCCATCCAAGCCACGCTGCAGCTGCAGGTTACGTGGAAGCAGCCAGGCTGAATGTGCTGAGATAGAGTCGGCACCTGGTTGTGGCCTTAGGCTGGGCTGTGCGATCCTGCTCCTCATTCTCCTACAGCCCAGCCCAGGAGGACACTGCTGGGGGCCAGGGAGGAGGCTGGGAAGTGGGATCCATCCCAACTTGCCAGTGGGGAAACAAAGCATCAGCGTGATGCTTCCTTGTGCCCTCCACCTGTGATGGTGCAGCATGATCAACCCACCCTGCTGCTGTGGGATGGGGCTGCTTCAGCGTGGGGAGCAGTTCTGGGGGGGCCATGAGGACAGGGACCAACCACCCATCACTGGCCTGGAGCTGCCTTTGACACGGGGTCACTCTGCTA